GAAAAAGCTAGCATAGGGCTCTTAACGATTAGATATCGACTGAAAGAGTGAGGTATTTCCAATGCTTTTCCTAGCCTTGGAACTGGTTGGAAATTTTTAAATGAAAATAGACCACTCTTATGATGTTTGAAGAATCAGGAGCTTTTTTTATTCCATTTGAAACAAAACGAAGATTTCATTTCCGCGTTTTACATCGTTTTCTCACTTTAGGATTCAACTTATGGGTGCCTTAAAAAGTTTGCTTGATGTACAAACACCTTTTCCAGCTACAGTGAAAGGAGTATCCTTGTAGCATGCGATCCCAGCATCGTTTGTGCGTAGATGAGGCTGAACTTGCTCCCAAACCTACAAAACAAGTTAAAAAAAAAATCACAGGTAGATAAAAAAAAAAAACAAAAACAAAAACAAAAACAAAACAGATGCAACGAGTTAACCAAAAAACTATCGAACCTGACTTGCAGGTCACATTACCTTTTTCTTTGGGTTCAACTGCTTGTCAGGCTCCCCCGGAAAGCCATCAAATGTAACTCTGTCGCCTGGCACGCTACCCTCGGGCGCGTTTAGTAGTTCAAACAGCGTTCTTTTCTCGTTACTCGCACACATCACCATGGCTTGCGATGTGATACCGCGCATCCTAAAATGACACCACAAACATCATCGCAGAATAATAGATATATCTTTCAATGAAGGCCAAAAACAACGGCAGCCAATACTTGCTGGCGGCCACCTAATTCTTAAGTATCGTGATCTCATAATTTTGGTTGCACAAAAACTTTGTCTTAACTGAGCACACAGAAAACGGAGCCTTCATTCTTTGGATGTGGTTTTAACGAAAACATCATGTTAAAAAGACTGAATAAAACGGTTGTAAAAACAAAAGGAGCACTAGNCCTTATTTCAGCTCCGCAACAGCTGGTGCATTGCAATTCCACCGTAAAAAGTCTCAAAGCTGACGTTTCGAGCGTTAGCCTATCGTCAGAGCGAATACTCTGGTAACTGGAGTTAGCCCCCCCTCTTAATTTCGGTGGGGTCATTTTTATCAGATTAGGTTGAACGACTTTGAGAGCTAAGCCTATTATCTGTCTGCTCTCGGATCTGTTGAAGAGATGGTGGAATTAAATGTAATTTGCTCTCGTCTGACATCACATCGACTCAGTGGTTCTCTTGTTCTATCTTGCAAAGGCAACATTGTAAAACACCTCTCAGACATTTTGGATTGGTTTTGACAATTTGCCAAAAATAGAGTCTGGCCGGTTTGATACTTCATGTTTCATCAATCATCATTCATCACTTTCATACGGCATCATGTTAACATATTAACACACTTACTTGACTGGCTTCAGGTTGCACATCACGAGCACAACTCGATCCTAAAGAGCAGAAACGGAGAAATTAGACCTCACCCCAGACAAGACATGCATCTTTCTACCAGCTACTGCATGTTCTCTCAGGTACTACATCTGCTTTTCCGAACTGAAAGCCATAATGCAGTGTAGGTGAGATGAGTGATCTCATCTTAAGATAGCGACAGTGTTAGAAAAGTGAGCATCAGATTCACAAGGAATATCGCGCTATAATTTAAGCCTTTTAAAGCTTTCAAGTGGAGCTATCAGTTTTCAATTCGCGCTAATAAATCTTCCCTATACCCAGCCATCCTCTTTTTATATTGCAGTTTACAGCACTGTCGTGTTTTCAATTTCCTACAGAGGTTTTCTATAACATTTCAGTTTTTGAGCGGCTACGCAAAGGTTAGAGCATCTTCAAATTTTTGCCAACATCCATGAAATTCATCGTTTGTAACCCATGTCAGTCTTTCTCAGTATTAACGATCATCGTTTCTTTTATTCTCCTGCAAACAATTCTGTTTTTGCGATGCACTGAAACTTTAATTGCAGGTTTCCTTCAGCTTGAGGGTTCTCGCCAAATTTCTCCAATATATAAAAAAAGCCCTCTCAGAATAACCATTTCTCCTTGGAAGCCTTACACAAGAAACAGTTTAGTAGGCTTTGACTGGTCTGCACACAGAGCAGCACGAATCTTTTCTGATGGATGAGCTGAAAATTGCACGCGCCGTAATTGGTCGTTGCCCATGATCTATCAGAGTACACAAGCTAGGCTTTTGATACCTCATCCAATGTGGCGTGAAGGTAACTTTGTTTATTTGTTTTTCTTTCTGTGATTATTTCTGTTAAGTGTAGTAAAATATTCCCCTTTTCTAGGTTTCCATTCCGTTAAAGATCGTCAAAAAATCGTCAAAACGAGTACTGACCATAACGCACCCCTATAATACGCGCACAGTACCTGAAGTTCCTCTAAAGGCACTGATCCTACAAGGCCACTGCAAACTGTTCGAGGACTTTCTTCTCCAACATCAACTGGAAAAAAAAAGGACACAAAAACAAACGTTCAACCAGAGGTTTCAATCAAAGCCAGTTACCACTGTTCTACCACCGTCTGTTGAGCCTGCGAGCTGGCTCTCGCGATCTCGGGTTTGGGTTTCGCCATACGGCCATACGGCACCTTTTCGGGCCCAGTCTTCTATCACACCATCGACAGCCACTTATGCAAAATGTTATTAGAGAGATTTAGCACTGCGTTTACGTGAAACGACAAACGTCAGCTTGCCCTTTCACGTTTCACGCAATGGCGTGAACCTTCCTGCATTAGCTTCGCGTGAGCTCACCTAATAGTGGATTTGAAGACACCTTTGTATGACTTACAAAGAATAGTTTTGGTGCCCTTTCTTCCGGCAATTAACTTCTACTCTGAGAGAAAAAGTGAAGGAGATCTTACGTACACGGCAAACGCAAAACAGGTTAGTTTCACGAAGAAACGGCGAAGCGCAACTGGTAAACGTGAAAAAAATGGCGGAAAAAACAAGGTCACGCGGTGCTAAATCTCTCTATCGAAACCCCTGGTGAAACGCGTCACTTTTTCAGCAAAACTTCATCTAACAAAGCAAACGATTCAGAAATCGGAGACGTCAGTTACGTAGCCGTCAGCCGGCACGAAAGAGAACCCTGTGATTACTTACTTTCTTCCACAAACAGTGTATCGGCGTCAGGGTGACGCTTAGCTGACAGTATTTTACCCACACGGAAGTCAATACGAGACACATCAGGTTCCACAGTGCTGGCTGCTTCTGAATTCAAACATGGGAAAAAGAACGTCACACCCATAACCCTCCAGACAACAATTACTCATAGCTATAAACTAAATTGCAGAATACCGAAAACTACAACTACCAAAAATAATTATTGTTGCAGAAATCTGGCATCATTTTTTAAAACTGAAATTGAAATAAACTAAGTAATTTGGTCGGTAGGTGAATTTCAGGTGCTTGCCAAGTGTAAGAACAATTTTGACCGCCTTGTTCACCATTTGACGCCTAAGAGTGACTAACATCTTCTAATTTTTCCTTACAATATCACCCCGAATCAATTAATGAAGGTCCTGAGAATAAAGGAAATGATCACCAACTAAAGACGCTCTGGATTTGTAAACAAATACTCCTTGTCAGCACCACAGGAAATGTGTAGAGAACACTATGGAGAATACATGTGTGTTTATGTATACTGATGTTTCGCTTGTTCTACGTTAATAGGCACCTTAAGCAGTCAGGGCGGCAACGCCAAGGAAGACTTCGATTAAAAAATTTCTACTCTTAGTCAGAATTTCAAAAATAGCTGCATGAGCTTACTGTCTCATACGGCGCCACAGCTCAACTTCAGTATGACGTGTAGAAGTAGCGTTGAGTTCCAAATGGCAATTAAATTAACTTGCCGTCGCGGTTTCGGTTCGCAGACGACGCAAATTTTGGCGATTTCACGTTGTTGTTTTGCATAGGACGGCTAAGAAATGTACAAAGTTTCAAAACGCACGTGCTGAGCTATTGTTTTGCCAATTAGATCTCTTGTTTTTCCACGTCCTCGTTGCCGTCGCCGTCGTGGTTGCTTAAGGTCCCTAATCACGAATTACAACGTC